AGAAAAAAATATATTTATCTAAAGTGAGATCTTTAAACATTTTAGTGGCTTGAACGTCACTCACAGAGATAATTTATTCATCACATATGAATTTTCAACCAGCTTGTGAGCTTCAAGTCAAAAGTGCCAAAATTTGCGTTTTCTCTCAGGAAAGAGTAAAGAAATGGCTCAGAAAATTAGAACCTATTTTTCTAAAACCAGTTTTGTAAAAATTGGAGAAGAGAATGGAGATTTTCCATAAGAAAAAAATGTATTTATCTAAAGTGGGCTCTTGAAGCATTTTAGTGGCTTGAATGTCACTCACAGAGCGAATGTATTCATCGCACTTGGATTTTGAACCAACCTGTGAGCTTCAAGTCAAAAGGGCAAAAACTTTCGTTTTCTCTCAGAGAGGAGTAAGAAATGGGTTAAAAATTAGAACCTATTTTTCTAACACTAGTTTATGAGGAATTGGAGAAGAGAATGGAGATTTTCCATAAGAAAAAATAAAGTTATCTGGAGTGATCTCTAAACATTAATTTTTGGTAGCTTCAACGTCACTCACAGAGATGATGTCTTCATCTTGATGACGAATTCAAAGTGGAAGTGCCAAAACTAGCGTTTTCTTGAGCTGAAGCTCATTGTTTATAGTACGTACAAAAATGTACTTTTACATTATTTCGTACCATTACTGGCAGTAGTCTTACTAAATCTTGTTTAACGTTTTTTTTTCTTTCTTCTTTTCTCTAGGTATGTAACGTTCCTATATTGGCTGTAATCCTTTTGGTTCTCCTATTTATCGCTCCATTATTYTATTTTTTACCCAAGGTAAGATTTACTATATATCATCGTTGCTTTGAATGATATGAGTATCTTGAATAAGGTGTTATAGTTAAAATAGGTGTACTTAACTGACGTAACGGACGTTAGTCCTAGTTTTCAGGTAGCTTAGATCTTTGCTAATAGGGGCCTATTTGTGTTTCATACACCAACGCAACTCAACTACTTTACTCGCTGGTTTCATATTATATCTATTACTTGTTGTTTTGGTGTTCTAGGATGGTTTCTTCTCGTTTTCCTCTCTTCCCTCCATTTTTTCTTAGCGTAACAATAACAATCGAAGGTTCTTCTTTTTCCCCGTTTCTTTCAGGCTGTTCTTGCCGCTATAGTGGTTGTTGCTCTAAAAGGTTTATTCCTACAGTTCAAGAGATTCTGGGAACTGTGGAAGATCTGCAAGTACGATGCTGTGAGTAGAACTATCCKTGCCGTGTCGAGAGCAGCATATCAAAGCATCCTTTTGGATCAGTTTTCGTATATGCCTGTGAAAGGGTCGGTGCCTATATTTTTTACAATTTCAATTGGCTGGGCGTTTGTATGAAGGGTGGATAGCGCTATGCGACGGATAAATATTATCCAGTGGATACATTTATTGATAACACCATCGACTATCCTTTGGATAAGGATTTATCCATCGATAGGGCTATCCACCCTTCGTACAACCGGGCCCTGATTTTTCTCCCGCAATGTGATTAGTCTCGCAGTGCAGCGACCTCTGCGTGACAGTGTTCGCGCTGTGTTCATGCCGTGTTCCGGGTATTTGATTTGATGGAGAGTAAGTTTTCGAGCAATGTGATTGCCTGGCGTACCCCTTGCCGTGTGACGACCGTGTTTGTGCTGTGAACTTTTCACAGTCATATGAAAACTGCTCTAACATAGGAGTAAAGACTACAGTGCTGTCTTAACTATAGTGGTATTTGTTTCTTTGCAGTTTGTTTGGATAAGCGTGTGGACTGCTGTAGTTATTCTTGGTATTGATACTGGTCTTGCTGTTGGTGTGGTCGTAGCACTCATGATCGTTCTCATCCGCTCATCAAGGTAGGCCGTTCCGTGCGGTATGCTGTGCTTTGCCCTGCCGTGCCGTGCCTTGACCTGCCGTGCCATAGCATACTGCGTTATGCTGCGCCGTGGCGTCTAGAGCAACACCGACGCGTTGAGTTTTTTATCGCGCTCTAAAAAAGCATCACAAACACGAGGAAACKTTTGCAGCATCCACAGCTCATAATTAAATGCTTTTCCTTTTACCAGACCTCGCAGTGCCATTCTCGGACATGTGCCATCTACTGGAGTTTACCGTGATATAAAAAAATTTCCAGGGGTAAGAATTTGCATCCATTTTGACCATTGTTGATCGTAAGTGATTGTAGCATTTTAAGAAAAACAAAATGGGGATTGGCTGGTGCTATGCATGACAGCGTTGGAGCCTGGCAGGAGGCTCCAGAGGTGAGAGGCGAGAGCACCTAGCTAGAAAAACTAGTCTTGTTTTGTTGGCTGTAACTGAGACAATTCGTTTATACCCTGAGACAACTTCTTCAGTTGGCTGACCAAAGTAAGACCACAGCAAGAGATTCTCTTGACCACAGCTAACTCACAGATCGAATTGGAGTTTTGTGAAGGGAGGAAAACCGGAGAAACCAAAGAAAATCCCTCGAATCAAGGGAAATACCTAACTAACAAACTCTGCTCACATGTGATGCCAATTAAGTGCAGAAATATTTTCATATTTAAATTCCCTGATTTCCTTCCCACAACAGGCCRAAGAGTTTCCTGGTATCAAGGTATTTAGGTTTGAGTCTGCAGTGTTCTATGCCAACGCTGAGTTCTTCAGGAGTGAATTGTTGAAGAAAGTCCACATAGATCCAGAAGAAGAGCTAAAGAATTTACTTGGGAAACGAGTGAGATATGAAGCTAATGCGAACAAAATGACGGAATCTCCAGTGGATAGTGACCCTGGAGAAATAAGGAGTGAGTCAGTCGTCATAGAAAACCAGAATGTATCTATGAACGGGGTAGGTTTGTAAAAGTGCCTATATCACCTAATCAAGAGAATATGAACTAAGAGAAGGAATCCTACCTATATAGCCTTGTAACCATCATGTGCAGAGTTTGATGCTATTTTTAGCTTGAAGATATTTTGAGCGAAGAACCTGATTGGTTGATTTCTTGAGGGTAGGCGTCTTCCAGTCTTGCAGTAAACAAAGCATGTGTTTTTTTCGTGGACGTAGCGAAACATGCCGCTTTTCGTGTCCTAAAACGAGGCATTAAAAGAAAGCATGTTTATCGCGCGGGCATGGTAACGAGTTAAAAATAGCATCAATGATTCTAAAAATAGCATCATCACGTGATGGAGCATGGGGATTTCTTCTCTTAGTTCATTTTCTCTTGACCTAAATCAATATTTTAAGCATTGATTCTACATGAAGTGAATTGTTAAATGGTTAAAAATATGATTTGAGTGATGCATCTTAGATATCAAAGTTTTTATTTCCAATATGTTAATGAGTATGATTTTATTATAGGCATGATTACTTTTACGAAACTTTTCTGGGGCAGTAAAATATCCTGTACAAAACATTGTCTTACTCAGGGTTTTTAGAAAAGTTATTGTAATTTTATTTCCTCACGATAAAAAGTGCTCCAATTTACAAATTGTGACTCGTTAGGATATTGAAAATATATAAACCTTTAATATTTTCAAGATGCATCACTCAAATCATCTATTTCTTTTTTTACTATTCAAAGATTCAGTTAATGTAGAATAAAAACTGAAAATATTAAGTTAGATGGAATAGGCACTTTAAGGAGTCGTTTATCTTGTCCATCCAGCCCATTCATCTCAGTCTATCCTATGCATTCTAATTTCGACGTATTCGTTTATTCGTCCATCTAAAAGGCTGTCTTATCCATCCATTTTTCTCCATCGCATTCATCCTTGCTGTCCATTTATGACATCTATCCTTCTCACTTATTCCTTTCATCCATCCATCCCTTTCTATCCCATTTATCCTTCCATACTTTTAGGTTTATTTATTCATACATCCTGTTCATCCATTCGTTTTTTTAATGATATTAAAAATCATTTATCTATCTTTTCCGCCCCATTCGTCCACCTATCCTTTCCGTCGGTCTTTTCATCCCATCAACCCATTCTTTCATATCTCCTTTTCTTTATCCATTTATACACCAATAAAAATGAATCTTTTCCCCTAGAATGTCAAGCGACCAACGTCAAGAGAAGAATCCTGCACCTCAGACGACGAGACCCAGGGACCAGTCAGACTTCACACTATAATCATTGATGGCAGTACATTTAACTTTATTGATACTCAAGGYGTTAACATGTTAATCCAGGTAGAAAAACAAATTATACCAAGGCATACCAGCGATAGAGGCTTTGCACCATCACGTGGTGGCAGCCTTGACAGAAGGCGCAGCAATAGTCTTTTTACCCGGGGAAACTAAACTTATTCTCATGTAGATCAGATAACATCAAATTTAATTTATGCTGCCCCCTGTCATGGCTGCGATGGTGCAAAGCCTGTATAGACTTTATTCGTCGTGGTGTAATGTTTTCCCATTACATACCACGTTTCGTTCCCTTGAGAATATGATTCTTTGTATTTGTCGTATCCATATTCAACCACGTGCAACCACGAAATGATACTCAAGGGAATGACACGTTGTTTAAAATGAGCAAACATGGCATACGCCATGGAATCCGCCGTGTTTATTGTGAATTCTAAGTCTCATAATGGCTAGTGTTTAGTATTAAAATTTAAACCAAATACACTCAAAAGCCTGGAGTGATGTCACAGTCAGTAATGAAATGAAGTATACACCTTCATAACTTAAAGACGCAACATTCAAATGATGAAATATTTCACCATTCATCTATTCACTTTATGTAGAATCAGCACTGAAAGTATTGTATCGGGGGTTAGGTGCACTTTAGCCTTTACGACGCCAGATCAAATTGGAATTTAAAGTCGATTTTTTGGAAGGAAGACAACTTAGAATAAATTTATCACAAGATTATTTCCGCTGGCATTTTTCTTCTTTTCTTCTCCTCTCCTCTCCACTATGCTTCTTCAAGTTGTTGATCTAGACCATATTTTCTTTCCCTCCTCTATGCGCTATAATATTTTCAGACTACTAACTACTTCATTTCTCTATTTCTATAGCTGGCRCTTGAATTCGAGAAAATTGACATCAAGTTTTATCTTGCCAGCTGTCGGCGTAAGTAAATTATGTTTTTGTCTGTTTAGAATGTAGGGCATCCCATGCGTAGAGTTAGGGGTTAGGTCAAAGGGTAGAGTGGTAGGTAGCTTTTGTATTCAGTAACTTGTGTTGTACTAATCGTATATGATATATTTATGTGTTTACAAGATGGTATACGTGATATGCTCAATAAAGTTGGATTCAGAAACAAAGTNCTTGAATTCGAGAAAATTGACATCAAGTTTTATCTTGCCAGCTGTCGGCGTAAGTAAATGATATTTGTATCTGTTTAGAATATAGGTTATCCCATGCGTAGAGTTTGAGGTTAGGTCAAAGGGTAGAGTTGAAGAAAGTGTTTGTTTTCAGTAGCTGGTGTTGTACTTATTGTGTATGATTTATTTATGTTTTACAAGATGGTATTCGTGATATGCTCAATAAAGTTGGATTCAGAAACAAAGTGGGTGATCAACACATTTTCATCTCCGTCCATGATGCTGTTGTACACGCGTTACACCCAAACGATGATGTTGAAGAAGTAATGGTAAGTAATGGCTTATTGACCGACCAACCGATCGAGGACTGACCGAATGACTGGCCGAATGACTGACCGACTGACTGGCCGAATGACTGACCTATGCCGTGAAGCCTAAATGTTTTACGAAACCTTTTAACTAACTTTTGTTTCCAAAATTACATTTCCTGCTAATTGTTTCCTCTAAAGCAACACAAATAAATGCGCGCATTTTCCGCATATTATTCAGAGCATAGATACAGAGATTTGCACACCTCCCATGAGTACTTCACCAAGTATCGCAGCTATTCCTAGCCTGGAAACGTACCCAGAGGAACCTGAAAGTCCAACGGTAAAGTAGTATCACTTTATACTTCATTTCCTGGTTTAATTTTCATTGCGCACTCCACATCTCAAGTCACGCCCTTGCGCATTGAACTCACTACAATTTTCCTGCAACGATATCATTTCATGTCCTCATTTTGTATGTAGTGATAATAGTGAAGAATTACCCTGTAACAGGCTCCGTCCATCCATCCATCCATTCACCCTCCCACTCATCCACCCTCCCACTCGTCCACCCACCCATCTACCCACGTATCCATCCTATCCATCCATTTGCGCTTTCCGCGTCAAGGCACGCTTGTCCTTGTCCATTGAACTTTAGTTTCACCAAGGCGATATCTCTTAAAATTCTTTGCTTTGCGCTTCCATCTAGGTATCCTCCCTCCCTTCTCTGCCTTCATTTACCATGCAGATCAACGGGTACCGTCCCTCTGTTCCTAAATACAAACGTTATTCATTCATAACTCTTATTTATTGATATGTTCAACAGATGAACGACACTCATTTCTAATTAACCTTGCTGTATACTCAAGTGACGGAAGAGTGGAGCGTATCATATCATTGTCAAGAGGACATATCAACAGACGCCTATATATTACCGGCAACGCAAGTTTATCATTAAAATTTGGCAGACCGTGCCTCGAGTCTCTACACGATTCGAGCAACTTGTAAAGAACTTGGAGCTGCAAGCCAGTCGTTCGTCCCAATGTGTGTTCAAACAAGATTCGCGTTCGAGATGGCATTTAATGTAGTTTCTTTGCTTCCAAAAGGGCAAAGAACCGTAAAAGATTTCAAACAAATGCATTCAACTCAAAAAAATCTAAGTAGATTGTTATTGTGCTACGAGTTTATGAATCCTTATCGAAAATGTTTTTATAGCAATGCATGATAATACTCATCATAAATCTCGTGTTCTGATATCGTGGCCCGTCAAGTTCCTTGCATTTGGACGCGTACGCAACCTTGAGAAAATGGTCCATAGCAAATACAAACCAAGTTCAGAACTAGATTTCATGGGTCTATAATTAAATCTTCGGGAACCTTAGGGTGTCGGGGTCTACTGTTATTATAAGTGATTAGAAAAATCATCAGCTTTGAACTAAATCAATGTTTTGTTATATTCCATGTGGTGATTTATAAATTCAATGCGAGTTTATGAATAACCCAATCTTTGAAATTGCGGTTTTAATGAAATAAATATCATTATTTATCAATCACATTAAAAGAAAAAAATTTATATTGAATAATATTTTTGTATCCCAGAGTTTTTATTCGAATCTTGTAATAATAATAACCAAAATAATAAAATTCTTACTATTTTGGGGAAGATTGAAGTATTTGTTTTCAGTCTCTTCTTACGGACGTTTATCGTGAATTTTAACACGCTGACAAATTTTCATTATTTTAAAATTAATTAAGTTAAATTAAAAATCTTTACCTTCGATAAAAAAAAATTGATGACAACGTCATCAAAAACCATTAATGTGTTGATTTCGAACATCAAAACCCATTTTAGTGTTGATTTGAATCATTAGTTGACGTCATTTTTATAAGCGCGTCATCAAAATCAATTAAGTGTTAATTCGAAGCATTCGACATTTTTATGAARCGTCATCAAAACCCAATTAACTGCCATGTTCGCGCGCGCGTGAATGTTTACAATTTAATCAATTTTTGAAGTCTAAAACAAAATGTACGTAGAACAACCCAGAAAGAGAGGTAGTAACAACCTCRCAAGAAAGGTGGTTGGAGGCGTGGTGATGGTAGCAGTGTGTGTGACAGTTGGAATTCTGGTCATCTATGCCATCAAGAAGATTGCCGAGTCAGACATGCCTCCAACGAAAGAACCGGAATCTAGTAAGTTCCCTATTTCTGAAATGATTTTTTTTGTGTGTGTGATTCCATGCGACATGAAAAAGAGAAGAAGTAAACATTTAAGGATTAAGTTGTTTGCATGATAGCGTAATTGCGCGCTGTCATTTGAGTATAAAATGTGTCTGCGTCTTCAGCTTTTATATAATTCAATGTGGAATAATTTCGCACACTGCGATTGGCTAGAAATTATTTCTTTGTCATTTGCTTACTGAAGAGTGCGTATCGCGGTATTTAAGGAGAAGGTCTGAAGACAATCCGTAGCATGCGTAAGTACTATCCCATGACTTGGGAGTAAAGGCTGAAACTTTCCCAAAGCAGCTAATAGCAGTACAATCCGTAGCATGTGCAAGTACTATCCCAAGAATTGTGAGTAAAGGTTAAAACCTTCCGGGAAGTGCAGCTTATTTTGTAGAGTACAAGCACGACTTCATGAGAGTAAGAATTTTTCCCTGTCCTCCAAATTGAACTACATTGAAAGTGATGCTATAAAAGGTTTTCTACATTCACACTGATTTTTAACTTGATTTTCACGATGCATTCTATTTTCCAGTGAGGGTCTTCACAAACAGCCAAGCTGTTGGCAGGCATGGCCCAACAAAACTTCRCTACAAGGATCGTAGATTGATCAATGAAGTGACGCTTCACAATGGTATTCAACATTGGACGGTACCACAAACTGGCATCTGGAKGTTAGAGGCTCGCGGAGCMTCAGGTGCAGACGGTCTGCTAAAAGGAGGGACGCGYCTACATGGCGGCAAAGGCGCACAAATAAGCGGGAAATTTATGCTGAAGAAAGGAGACAAGCTAAAGATTCTGATTGGACAAGAAGGGACACGTGATTTTTTGGATCCTCGTCGACCTGGTGGAGGTGGTGGAGGAACGTTCGTCGTGAAGAAGAATGGAAAACCTCTGCTCATTGCCGGTGGGGGAGGGGGTGGGGGAATTCCTCCACCTGCAGGTAATGGAAGAAAGCTTTGATTTGAAAGTTTCATTTGATGCGCAATGAGCTTTTATCATGAAATTCCAAAAACTCACAAGACACGAGAAGAATTACTATAGCTGGAAATAGCATGTTAAACTAATCAGTAAAACTATAAGTGTTAAGTAGCAAGGTCAAAAATCGAAAAGATAGATTTTTTTCAAAAATCGAAATTTTGTATAAAAACTTGAAGGTATATTTTGCCTCCAKCAAAGGTTTTCTTACAAGATTCATACTTTTCAAAAATCATATTTTCGCGAGTTTTGAACTTGTTTCCTTCAAACTTCACAGTGTTTCCCATTTTAACATGCTCCTTCCAGCTATGGTAATTATTCTTCTATATCCCAGATTTTTGGAATTATATGATAAAAGTTCATCGCGCATCAAACGAAAACATCAAAGCTTTCTTCCTGTTTTACCATTTCAAAATACCTTGTAAAAGCTCATTCCGGGCAGATTTAATTTTTTATTCTAATTTTAGCGTTCCAGACCGAAGGCCGAGGAGCAAGACCAAACGACCACCTCTACAAACACGACCATGCAAGTGGTCGGAAAGGCAAAGGAGGAAAACTATATGACACAGACGCAGCCAAACTAATTACTGACTCTGGAGGAGCCCACAAAGTYATCGCAGGTGCGGGGGGYGGTTTCCACGGAGATGGATTAGGCTACCACAAGAATTGGGGCGGCAAGAGCTTCATCCATGGTGGTATAGGAGGAGAAGCTACGCCMGTTTATRCYAGGCACAGCCATGGTACACGTGGAGAAGGAGGCTTCGGYGGYGGGGGTGCGGCAGGGCTGCTACCCGGTGGTGGTGGTGGATACTCCGGGGGTGGAGTCAGTGGGTGTTGGTTGGAGTGTGGTAAAGGGAAGGAGGCTGGAACCGCACAGGGCGGGAGCTC